ATTGCAATGCATGAGCCTGATCAGTACATGGGCAGGTGGGTGACCATCTTGAGATGTCTGAATGTGTTATCAACATCAAGATCCCTCAATGCAAATGCACATACGCGGGCACGGTTACACGATCTCGATAAGAGCGCGTTGATTGTCCAGTAAGGCAGTGTTGACAGAGATTACCGTTTGCTGGGCAATCTCATGTTCCAATGAGAAAACAAGGCAAGTCCCTTCCGCCCCGACGACAATCACCCGCGGAGGTGGTCCGACGCGGAGCAAGTTGTTGATATCGAAAGTGCGGGTTGGCGTGCGTCAGCCTGTCAAAGCGAGGCGGCGGATTGCACCAGGACGGTTTAGAAAGACGTGCATGCCGTGATCTGGGGTACCCCGGGAGATCCGCAGCCACAGGCGCTGATGGCCGTCGGCGGGCGTGTAGCACTGTGATGACGGAGGACGATGGAGCTCTTTCTCCCGCCTGAGTCCTATCACCGCGTCGAAGTGAGAGCTGGCTGTCCCACTTGGGGGACGTGTGATGTCGAGGAATCTTGGGTGGGCCTGTGGTGGAGGGGTGACGTGCAGCGGTGATGTGCGTCGTGAGTCGATCCTTTCACGATAGTAGCAGAGGCCGCTCACCGCCCTTCTATAACTAAGCAGCGGCAGCTCTGCACTAGGCTACGCGCGCTCCCCTCACTAACACGGCCCACGCGACACGCTTCTCTTTGTTGTCGCAGCCCTCATTGCCCCGCATTACCTGTAGCAGTGCAGTGGAATTGCTACCTAGAAGACTGCCATGGGTCAACCAGCACGCCGCACTGCTCGAGCCCGCCATAATATCGACGCCTCACCCTCGCACTCCTAAGACTGGGCGCGCTTCCATGGCGGAATGCGCCCTCTCGACATGATCGGACACCTCTTCAGCAGCCGCAAAGGCTCCAGCGCCGCCCACGCGCCGCCGCCCACGGTGCTCGACTCGGCGACCGAGGAGAGCCACACGCGCCATCTGCTGTACCCCGAGACCAGCACCCTCTACCACCCCGAGGGCCAGCCCTATCCCCTCCACGCCGCGCCCCTGACGCCCGGCAGCGCCCACGACGGGCCTCTGCCGGAGATCGACCTCGACTACCCGCGCGACTGCCGCATCATCATCGCCCAGGATGAGACGCCCCAGATGCCCAAGGCCATCCTGTTCGACTCCAAGCCCGCCCCGCCGCGCGCCGACCTCAACACCTCGCCCGCCTCGCCCACGACACGCGCGCGCGCTGCAGGCACAGCAGGGCCGACGTTTGGCGGTCTGCATGCCCGTCGCTCCTCCCTCGCCACAGAGCCCACGCCGCCGCCGCGCTCGCCCACGGTCGCCGGCTTCACGCGCATACGCACCCGCGGCAGCTCCATCTCGTCCATGCCCAACATCGACGAGCACGCCCAGGTCCAGGCCAAAGCCCAGGCGCGGGCCAAGGAGTCGACCGACCTGGCCAACATCTGCCTCGACTGCATGTTCGGCAACCTCGCCATGAACTACCGCGGCAACTCCAACAAGATCCACATCGTGCCCCTCGACACCAAGCCCGCCGATGCCTCCATACTGAGCACCAGCGTCCAGGATGCGACAAGCTCCCTGGGCCGCGCTGAGGGCCTCCGCCGCCGAAGCCATCTCGCCAAATCCTTCACTCCCGCCAACCTCCCGACCGACATGCCCCGCGCCGACTCGTCCGAAAGCATACCGAGAGAGCCCAAGCGACGGACCATCTTCATCACACGCTTGTTCTCCGTCACCATGCCGGACGAGGATCACGAAGACCGCACGCCGACACCGCAGAGCTCACTGCCGAAAGGCAATGGGTTCCCTTTTCCGTCCACGAACGTCAAGCCAGGTGCCCCTAAGCCGCCATACCCGTCACACGTGCGAAAGAGCCCCATGTATGCCATCACCATTATCCTCCACCTGCCCATATCGAACACGTCGCCGAGCCTGAGACCTTCATCTCGGAGTGCCAATACCAGGACTCCTGGACACCTTTCGACCTCTGCCCCTGGACAGGATTCTCTTGGTTCGTCCCTGGACTCGGATCGCCGCGCAGGATGGGCCTTCATCGACTCTAACCTGGGCGTTGAATCACTCCTATCTTCGTCGCTGTGTAGTGACGTCGATGACCGCGTTGATGTCGTAGGCCAGCACTGGGATGTCATCATGCGCGCTCTAAGCAGCCTCCAACACGTGGTCCAGGAGCGCATACTGGCTCAGTTCAAGGCGCCGAAATCGCCAGATGGCATGGCCACACCTGTAGCCCACCACCAGAGAAACCAGCCTTCGCGGACGAGTCTCCGAGACTCCTCTCTGCAGGCCAGTCGACGAGCCCTACGATTGCCGCCGAACGCCCTCATGATGGACAAAGAGATACGAGACGCAGCGGAGCTGACCGGCAATCGCGTCGTAAGCGGCATGAGAATTCCCCGCGTAATGACAGGTCAAGGCAAGTGGGGCGTGTGGCGCGAGGAGGCCAGATGGCTTGGTCGCTGGGCAGGTCGACGAGAACAGAACTTCTTCTTCTTCAACTTGCTGACTGCTTTCCTCGGTAACCACACTGAATGGCTCAACATCCTGGGCCCCAGGTGGCACCGCAAGCGTCACCGCGAACTACAGAAAGCAACTGCTGGAGAGAACCTCACCATCCCGAGTCGCACTGTCATTGTTTCCCCGGACAAGATGGCTGCTCGGAGACTCATCTTTCTACTGGCTGCTTTTCTACCACCCAACGCGTCTGCCATGGGCGACAGCACGTACGCGCGCCCTGGCACTTCGGCGTCCCTGCGTGCTTACTCACAGTCGCCTCCGACCAACATGCCGCCCTCAAGACAGCCATCGCTAAGGAGACAGATAAAACGTGGACCGAGGGGTAAGCAGAGCATGTCCAATATCCTTCTGCAGCCTCCGAAACCACAGAGTGTGCATCAGCCGTCTACGCAGGCTCTAGACGAACGTTCCGAGTCGGCCCTGATTGAGACGTCAGAGCCTGTACGACCACTCGGCCATTCGCGACGTTCCTCTGCACACTCAGTCCGGACCACTTTAGTCGTCCCCTCCATGTCGGAAGGCCCAGTTACGACAGGCAGCACGGTAACCACCTCAACAGCCACCCCACAAGATGCGATGCCTGTCGCTCACTTCACCTTCCCCAGAACAAAGTCGTCCGGCACCATGCCTGATATGAGACCAGAAAGCAGTGATAGTCTGGCGTCCACCAACTTGATCAGCACCCTGCAACGGAGCGGTACAGGCCAGACAAGCCTTGCCAGCAACGATTCCAGCAACACTAGTCGCTGGAGTGGCTTCATGAACTTTTGGAGCGGCCGTCGCTCGTCCTCGACCGACCAAAGTGAGTACTTCCAAACGACAGATGACGGCGTGGGCTTTCGTGGGCAAGAGCGCCCTCGATCGCAGCTTGAGCACATGGTACAGGAACTCTCTATGGACCGTGTCTTCGAGAGCGATGCCGTCGATTCTCCGTTCGCACCTGACTCCGGCGAAAAAGACACTCTCAGTGTTTACTCCAATGGTGGCACTTCTGGTGTCCCTGCATCTGCAGCGAGGCCGATACCCGAGCGTCAGAAGACTTTTGAAAGTCATCTAAAATTGTCAGTCAATGAAAAGGATGGCGTTATTGATGTCGACCTCCCGCTCCCCGACTTCGACTCCCCTTTACAGTCTCCAATGCTGGGAGGATTCGGGTCGGCTTCAAGTCAACCGGGCTCCAGCTTTGGCGAGTCATCGGTTCTGTCGACGCCTCACGGAGAGCCAGAACAACCTGTCAACGTTGCTGGGTGGCTGAGTCAATTTCATCCTGACTTTGCTGTTCAGGCTATCAAACCGTATCGCTACCTTGAACGAGACATCAAGCGGGCAATGAGCGCGGAGCCAACACCTTTGAGTACCGTGACTACACCTAGTCTGGAGTCTGGTCCACTTGAACGCTGGATGGATATATGTTCTGCACTTATCGCTGACACGAGTTCCTTCTCGATCAAGCGCATCAGCTTACGACGCCTTGTTAAGCTGATCCCCACACCTACCTACCAGTCCTCGGCCATGACGCCAGGCGTTACTGGTTTGGCGCCCGGCCACTCGCGTTACGGCAATCCGTATACTTCAGGCAGCGCTGTTCCAATGATGACTGAAGTCCACCTCGCTGAGAAATTCGATGAGGAAATCATCATGGACTTCGATTCTACCCTCATAGACGGTGTGGATCGTGTACTGGCCCAGTCTGGTGAAGTGACTCGTGTCAACTCTGCCCAGTCATCACGATCAAGCAGCAGAAGGGGTCGGCGCGACACACGAGCGGAGTCAGATGCGGTTCCACACGTCGAAGTACCGCATGTTGACTGTAAGAGCGTGCTGTTCGAAGCGTTGGAAGTTGTCGTCAAAGACGTAGCCACTGAGCGCGGAGGTCGACAGCCTCCTAAGGAAGGTGGTCATACAAAAACGACAAAGACAACCAAGACCTCTCACCCAAGAACCGAAAACGACTCTTCCCTGAAAGAGGGAATTCGAAGGTGGCTGACAGAGGTCGAATGAACGCGGCAGCAGGGTACCGACTCTCCTACCATGGCGGCTTCAAATTTTGCCATCTATGTATTATATCCTTTGAAACTTTGCGTTTTGGTCTTTGCTGCGTTTTAGCGGGCGTTGGAATACTCTCACAGCGAGGTTGCGACCTTTGCTTTCGGCATTCAGGGTGGAGTTTTGCTTTGATCCGATGTGCTGCTGAAGGGATATCATCATATCTAGCAGACATAAGGCGTGGAAACTATGATACCATAAATAGACTGATCAAATCTACTAGTATGTTTACAATTGGTGCATTTGACAAGCATTAATGCCATGGCATGTGCAAGTAACAATGGGTGCGATGTAAAACCATGTAGTGTTGATTAAGATCTTCAGTCGATGACCACCTCAAAACATCAGTCGTCCTCTCGTGGTACTGGCAAGAGACGACTGTCCGCAGCCCTCAGATATCGCCTCCAATGACAACATCAAAGACACAGTGCACCACACCAGGTGCGTACATCTTGACTTTCTCCACATGTTCCACCACAGCCTTCCTTCTCGTCTCAGCGTCCCTCTTGTCCACCAGACTCAGGAATTCCTCTTCTACAACCTTTCGCCTCGTCTCGACATCGTTGACGCCCACATTCTCATGCACATGGATCCATCCTCCAAGCTGCTTCTCAAGCATCGCAACCGCAACACCCCAGGAGAGCTTGGACGAAGGCAGCAAGCCTAGATTGACGTGTCGAACAGGTGGCTTAGGCGATGGAAGTAACGCGTAGTCCTGCTCAGCACTCTCGTTGCTTGTCTGGAAGACGAGAAGATCCGCTTGGTGGAAGTAGGAATCGTCCACTGCGGGACTTTCACGAAGTCGCGCTATGTCTGCACCTTTGAGTACCCGGCACGTCCACCCATTCATCTCTGCGCCTCTTCGTAGCCCCTCAATACTCCATGGGTTTATCTCCCAACAAGCGACTTGTTTGATACCTGTATTCCGTCTGTCTCCACTCTTCTTGTACGAGAAGGCAAAGTAGCCGATTCCAGCGTAAAGATCGACGGCTGTTGACGCAACATCCAGATCATTGACCGAAGGGAGATTCAATATCCTTGCTTTCTCATTGACATTGCCACGGCTGAACATCGTGTAAAGCGGCGCCCAGGTTTGCCAAATACCGTTTTGGCGCGCAGTCACCCAGAGGGCGTCGGCGAAGTCTGTTGCTGATGGTGAGGTGATGGTTTGCGGTGTCGGTGTAGGACCGAAGTTGCCGTACAGAGGTGTGATATTGGATGGGCTGCGCAGTATGTTCTCTTCGCTGGTCGTGGTGGATGGTGATGCTGATGTTGAAGATGTGGATATCGGTATTGGCGCGTTGATGGCGACGTGTGTTGCGCCCACTGATGTTGCCATATCCCGCCATACTTGTTTCATCTTGTCGGAGTCGGCTGGGTAAGTGGTGATAAGAGTTCGCCATGGTGAGGAGGACAATGCGTTGTGCGGAAGAAGAAGCATGGGCTTGTATACTGAATATCCGTCTGGGAAGGCTGTGACAAGTGCTTCGACCGTGAGTGAGTGCGATTCAGATGTACGATCCAAAAGCAAGGTGAGCGCGGTCCCAAGAGCCTTATGAAGATGATTTTGGTGAGCCGCACGCGGCGATGCTGCCGTGCTTGGGACGTGGTGTGAGATGGATATGTCTGTGGAGATTTCGCCCAGTGCGAGATCTTCTGTTATCTTGGACAACAAACCCTCCAGATCCAGGATTTCGTTTGTGCCATTTATCTGCGTAGGGCACGGAATGGTCGTGGGGATATGCATGCGCTTCTGGTCAGGCTCTCTAGCCTGATCAGCGTCCGCATTCATGGTAGAAGGCTCAACATATTCTCCTCTGACCACATCAAACTGCAGGGTTGGAAACCTGTTATGGCTGTCGCGATCACTAGGTGCCTCGGCCGCCAGGGTCGAAGTCTCATTTCCAACGCTTCGGTTTTCGCGCTGAGCTCTGTCTTCCAAGAATGACTGGTCGACATATTCGCCGCTGGTCGCGTCAAAGTGGAGCCTCGGGAAGCGTGACTGCTGTGTAAGGTTTGGTGGTGCCTGCAAGGCTTCTGCTGGTGATGCCTTGGTGTCTTCTTCAGGTGGAGATGACTGTGATAAATCAACACCTTGGCTCGGCTCAGACGAATCTACGACAGCCTCTGGTGCCCTTCTGTCATCCAACTCAGGGATAATTTTGCTGCTCCGATCTAACTGTCCGGCCCGCTCGAGGGCAGACTTTACAGTTTTGACATGCTGTTTAGGTACAACAAGAACGATCCTGGAAGTTGAGGTCTCCATTCTCCCTAAAGTTTAGATAAGCGATGACGGCGAGGTTGTGCTTGGGAGAAGATTGGAGAAAGTCGATGCAACATGATGTGGAATTTGTGCACTTGCTAGCTTCAGGCAGCACTATACGAGCACGAGACGCTTGGAAACCTTGACAGCTGACAAGTGTATTGCATCGCAACTGCCAACTCTGCCGGATCGTCTGCGAAACCCATCTCGTCTGTCCTTGGAAAGAACGTCTGGAGGCACGGACGAAGCTCGACATGGTTGTTGCTGTTTCGAAGCCCCGCCCCCACCCAAGCTTGTGTGGGTAAGCGTATGACGCAGTTCACAAACACCCAGCTGGCGCAGCACTTGCACTGACATACACAACATCCACCCCCTCATACATCCACAATGTATCTCACGAACCTCGATCTCATAAACCAATGCGACGGCTTCCCGTATCCCGACGTCAACTCGGAAACATACATCGCGTCCATCAATACGTATTACCAATTGCGCGTCTCGGGCTACAACTATGCGCTGGGTTATATGCTCCCCTCCGTTGTCGAGGTTTTCCGCGGAGTGCCTGGCTGGGAAATCGACGATGATGCTCGCATCCTCCATCTTACAGCCGGATCCAACGCTGACGAGCGGTCGAAGGCGGTAGAAACGACACTGTTGGCTATGCGGCAAACGGGCCACTTCAAGGTGTTGGACAAGTGGCGGAACGAGCTGTATGCTGTGTATGGGCTGGGGAAGGAGCTGTTGTTCAACGTGGAAAGAAGTGCTAGTTGCCTGTTCGGCGTGGTCACCTACGGTGTGCATCTTACGGCATTCACGAGGAAAGACGGAGAACTAAAGATTTGGACGCCGAGACGGGCGCGGACAAAGCAGACGTATGGAGGCATGCTTGATAACGCGGTTGCAGGCGGCATCGCATCAGGTGAGTCGCCGTTCGAGAGTCTTGTGAGGGAGTGTGGAGAGGAAGCTTCGCTCGACGAGGATTTTGTTCGGGCGAATGCGAAGGCGTGTGGCACAGTCACATACTGGTATATTCGAGACGAAAGGGCGGGAGGAGAGACGAACCTGATGCAGCCCGAAGTTCAATATGTCTACGATCTCGAGCTCCCCGAAGACACAATCCCGAAGCCAGGCGATGACGAGGTCGAAGAGTTTTACCTGTGGAGTGTGGAGGAAGTGCAAGAAGGGATGAAGAAAGGCGAATTCAAGCCAAACTGCGCGTTGGTCGTGCTCGACTTTCTGGTCCGCCACGGCATTCTGACAACGGAGAACGAGCGCGACTACATTGAGATTGTGAGTCGACTGCACAGGAAGCTCGAGTTCCCTACACTGTGAGAAGGGGAAGGAAAACGTGATATTCTCGCGCAAGAGCGGCGAGTGAATCTATCGAGTCCTTTGGGGGTATCCAGACGCCGTGCCGAAACTTTTAGACCAGATGATACCAATACCAACACAATGCTACCAAACGCCTATTCTATGCTTGCTTCCCTTGGATCGTGGTGGAGGCGAAGGCACTAGTACTATGAGTGCTTGATGAGCATGTAAATGTCGTCGATCTTGAGCCCGCTGAGCTTCCTGTGAGGGCCCTCCATGTACAGAAGCAGCCCGCCGAAGCTGGCGAAGTACTTTCTGCCTGCTGTCAGCACCCAGTAGGGTCAAAGTGGACGCGTGAGCTTCACTCACATGATGTCGCCGTCACCACCCTCCATGCGGTAGTTCTTCCCATAGCACACGTAGTCGTACATGTCGGCCAGTGTTGTAACACCCTGCTTGCCGACGCTCCTCCACATGGAGTCGTTGTCGCCCTTGGCACTACCGTCCAACGCCAATGTGGTTGCCAGGACCAGGCTCAAAGTCTGGCCAGCTTCGACCGGGAACAGTTCGTGGTTTATGTCGAGCGACATGGTGATTTGGCTGTCGGTCGAGGTGCCAAAGATGCGGGAGACGCGGTCGTATTTCTCATTGTTGATGGAGGTGACGGTGAATGTCTCTTCGAAAACCTGGGCGTCGGCCATGGTGGGAATGCGCGTGGGGTGGGCGCGTGGGTGAGAGTGCGGCGGGTGATGGTGTTGCGACAGTTGGTTCGCGCAGGCAGAAAGTCGTCGGAGCGCGAAAAGCGACGCGTGTCTTGGCGGCGCCGCACTTCCGCACCCTCTCCGCATCGCCGCTACGCGCGCCGCCTGCCAGCCTCACCATCGCGCCTTCCACGACCGTGCTCTCACATTCGCAATACTCCCACACATGGCTCTGCACCTCCATGCGCCTCACCACATCACGCACCCAGTCACTCGCTCACTCACGTGAACAGTCAGTTGCCTAAGCGCGCAACTCCCTACCTTGGGTACAACTGCTGCGCCCCAGCCTGCCCTCGCTCCTCTGTCCCCTCTTCTCTTCCCAACTCCACTGTCTCTCACCCATGAGCTACGATCGCTACTTGATGAATCTCTTCAGCCTGCACGACCTTGACTATCTCTCGCCCGATATGCCCGACTTTACTTCAAGTCGTGACTGTAGCCCTGTCGCTTCCGATGCACTCAACCAGCCCAAGTCCAAAGCTGCCGCGAGCCAGAGCAGCATGCTTCTCAAACTCCCCGACGACATATTCAAGTGTGTCATGGACTATCTCGACCGCGACGCTGCCTGGAGCCTGAAGAGGCTTTGCAAAGGCATGGCAAGCAGCGTCACCGTCAATCAGCTCCTCTACAAATACCCCATACAGCTCAACGATGTGCGCGACATCAGACTAGGCGACTGGAAGTACAGGGGCCTGGGTAATATACGGTGGATAAGCTTCCAGGAAAGCATCACGGATGAGAACCGCCGGCACGTACATAAGCTGGCAATGTCACATTGGGCGAGTATAGACGACTTCAAGTGGATAGAGGAAAACCTGCCATGCCTGACGAGCTTAGACATCTCGGCCATCAAAGACTTCGTATGGACGCCGGAAGAGACGTGGACGTGGAGCATGCTGGCTGCTGCTTGCCCCAAGCTGTTCGGCCGCCTCGAAGAGCTCGAGGTTGCCAATTGGGCTGACTATACTGCGCACTCTCGGATTGAGTACAGCTACTCATACAACGACTATCGCTTCAAGCAGGGCTTCCGCATGTCCAGAAGGCACAAGAGCGGTTCTGTCGCCAGCATCATCTTTCCAATCTGCAGCAAGCTGAAGACGCTCGCGATACGAGAGCGCTACTCAGGCTTCCAGTAAGTTTTGTCCACCATGAGTCCTCACCAACGCTCATAGTACTGACATCCAGCCTAGCACATGGAACGAATGGGAAGTCCACCAGCGCGTCTGCTGTCTTGTGGATGGTGTGCAGAAGCATTGCCCAGACAGCATGACGAAGCTGAGGATACACGATTACGCCCCCTACCGATCCCTTTTCTCTACCGATGCGACAGCGTGGTCACGAATAAAAGACGTCGAAATCGGCTTATACTCATGGATGGAGGACCGTCGCGATCGCGATGTAATTGGTCCCATACCGTATCGAATAACTCAAGGGCATCACCATCGTGATGAGGAAGAGGCATTCGATGACAAGACCTTCGAAGACTGCGGACGCGATCACATGGAGCTGGGCAATAATGTTGTGCAGGGCGTAGGAGCTTCATTCGAGGACCTGCTGCAGAGCCTCCAAACCATCTCCAAGAAGTATCCAAACATCAACATCAAGCCCATACACGGTCTTCAAAACATCGTCCTTCACCCATTTCATCTCATCAATGTAACGCAGCGCCGACATCACTTTGGCCAGACTACGCAGCAGAACAACGATCAAGCGATGAGTGACCCTAGCTCCAAGCCAGAGGTCCAGGAAGCGCTGCGGTGGATAGCTGAGAAGTGTAACTGGAAGCCCGTATTCACTTGGGAGACCCTCATGTCCGATGTCTTTCCAGCCAATCTCGAGCCCAACCGGACACTGCTTCCGAAACAAGATATTCTGTCTCGTATACAGACTATGGTATCCACCTTACGAAGCTTCGGTATCCCTATCCGTATTTCCATTGGCGAACGCACAAACATGTCTCCTGCGTCCGGTATTGACGGCAACCTATATTTCGGCGACTACAAAACCTTTGTTGGGGAAAACGCGGACAAGCGTGAACTGTTGCTTCCGACCCAAGCCGTCTTCAGTCTTACGCCCATCGCCGCCATGGTTGATGAACTCAGTATCCAATACCCCGCCGACGTTCCTGGTGTCTCTGGCTGGCTGCGTACAGCGAAGCGCCCTACACCCGCCGAGGTAGCCCTCATGAAACGCGAGATGATTGGCTGGAGGCGCTTCTGGGCTCGCTACGCTTCCCAGTTCAAGAATCTGAAGAAGTTGACCGTTAATGTACCCAACGATATCTACGAAGACTGGGGTAAAAGTGAGCTCGTTAAGTTACTAGCCGACGAACGGTGGCAGATGCTTGAGGTGGAGGACAAGCAAGATAACAGCATCTTCGGGAGCTACTTTCCATTCAGCAGTACTAGCTCATCGTCTGCTCTACGACACAACCTTTCGCGTCGGCGTACAAGAGCCAAGTTTGTTCAGCGGGTCTTCTTCAGGCTTGACAATGGACCGTTGGACCTCGAGTGTCTACCTGCGGGATTGAGCGAGAAGCAGAGAGAGGAAAGGGAGATCACTGACGCCGAGATTGCAGACAAAGAGGCCTTGCCACATCGCTTCTGGCATAAAAGCGATGATGTAGACGAGGAAAAGGGCGAGAAACGCAAGCGAGACCCTGCCGAGGATGGCGGTAGCAAAGAGGATACGGAGAAACGACGAAAGGCCGATCATGAAACTTGCGCCCGTGCCATTCAGTACGTTCAGCTTCTAGCAACTACAACAGAGTAGCAATTGTATTAGTAGTCTAGCATACAAAGTTTGTAGTAAACATCCATGATGATACACAGATGTCTCGCATCTATGGGTCTCTGCTTATCTATTTTACAAAAGGACACTACACGGAAATTGTTGTGTTTGCTCGTATGTCCCTGGAGCTGAATCCTGAGA